TTGGAAAAATCACACATAATATCAAAATTCTCTTTGAAAAGAAATATTAAAATTTTTTTTCTTGAAAAATTTTTTCACATTCAAACTTTTTATAAAAAAAAATTGTTTAGTAATTAAAAAATTTTTTAAATATATTTTAGCATTTTTTTGAGTATGCAGTTTTGAAGCCCATTAAATCTTAGTATAATGAAGTGCAAGTTTTTTTCTCACCCCGTTCTCGAGTTATTTGGAAAACTATTAAGTTTTTAAAATTGTATTAAATAAGCTCAAATTTCATAATTATTTATTTTCTACGATTATCCATTAACCTCGTCCATTTTGGTATGGAACGCCCCATATACATATGTAGACGATAATTATATCGATAACTATAACTAAAACCGGTACAAAATCGAATGCGGCACTCTTATTGATAACAATATCAATAACGTTAACTATGTTTATCGATATTTGATATTTTTATGTCTTTTTACATGTTTTATTTACATTCTAAATAATTTCAGTGGATGAGATTGATGGCTATTTATATTATTTTGGCGGCACTGCAGGCGTTGTGACCTTGACTGGTCTCGCTGCTGCGACAGCCTATTATTTCGCATCACGTCCCATACCGGAAAAGCCGTTAGTGCCTCTGGATAATCAAGCGCCCATTTTGGAGGTAAGTAATAAAACATACACATACAAACAAATGCTCATGCATGTTAGAATTCAATCGCATACACTATTTGTACATTTAGATTTGTTTATTGTTTTGTTGTCACTTGCCAAAGCGAAAAAAGAAATAAAAAAAAGTTTCTCAAACTGAAAGAGAAAGTGTTTTCTACGCTACCCTTCTTATATGTATGCCGGCTATTTCGAAGTTTATGTACATTTGTCAAGTTGTTCTCATAAATCACATAAGTATGTACAATGTACATTAAAGTGGTCTAAAATTGTATGTGAAAAAATAAGGTGGGATTTTTAATGCCGCCACCCCCTAGGATTGTTCCATACCGAAAAAAGTACACCCCTATTTTTATATTTTGAAAAAGAAATTAGGGAGTTGGATATTAATATTGGAAGTCTCCTGAAGAGAACCACAGTTTTCCGATCGAAAAATATTGATTTTCAAGAATTTTATACCATATCTACGAAAACATGTTTTTTACCCATATCAAATACATAGAAAATTTTGAGCGCTGTGAGCACCCACTAAATATTTCTTGATTTCAATATAAGAAAATATGGGTATATTTTTTCGATTCAGAACAATCCTAGGGGGTAGCGATGTTAAAATTCCGACTTTATTATTTTTGGGCCACTCTAATGTACATATGTAAATTCAAACTAAGTATTTATACGAACAGATACACTGCATTTCGTCGTAATTGTTTTTATTTTGCTGATTTTTCACATTTACCAATTTTCTTATCTTTCTTAGTTACGTTATGGGTATGAGGTTTTGAGTACAACGTTCAATTTAAGCAAAAAGAGTCACACAAATATGTACTTAAGTACATATTGGCTCGACAAGCACCTGATGTCACATGATTCACGTCTGTGAGATGGCTTCTTGTGCTATTTCTGAATCGACGAACAGTGATGTTGCCAAATGACGTCATTAGTATAGTGAAACATTCCTGAGTTTATCTGGGGGGTATTTTGAAATGTTAATTCTGCGATTAAACACATGTAGTGACGCTGTGACCCACTGTAAAAGTAAATAGTAATTTAACCCTTAAATACTGTGCCTAAAAAACAAAAAAACAGCTCTTCACAAAAAGTACATTACTTTACATTTTAGAGACATGCCATTTACATACGTTACACCAGTTAGCCATGCTTTTTAAGTCTGTTTGTAGCATAGGCTTCTCTTTAATTGATACGTAACATTTATAAAGTTTCACATCATCTGCGTACACTACAATTTTTGAAAATTTAATACCTGTAGAAATATCGTTTATAAAATTCAAGAACAGATCCGGGCCTAGGTGGCTACCTTGCGGGACTCCTGAAGCAACATCAATGACGTCAGCAATACTATGTATTTATAAACATTACCCTTTGTGATCTATTATAGAGGTATGAAGAGATCCAACGTAGAAAATTAGATTGAAGAACAAGAAGATCAGGTTAATAGGTGAGAAACGAGTGACATACTTTGTCAAATGCTTTACTGAAGTCGGTATATATAATATCCACGTTTTTGTTTTCACTAAACGCTTTTAAGGTATAGGTTGTAAACTCAAGTAAATTTGTTGAAGTTGATTTGCTTTTGCAAAACCCATGTTGACAATATGAAATGGTAGAGCAGATAGAATGCGTCAACTGATATATAATAATTGCTTCAAATAATTTAGGAATTGCAGAGAGCTTAGCTATGCCCCGATAGTTCTTCAACGAGGATCTGCTACCGATTTTATGTACCTGCGGTAACGGCTCATAGAGATAATCAGCACAATTTATAAGAAAACAAGATAGGATCTGGTCAGGACCATAACTAAAAGACTGCATTAAGGACTTCAGGTAAACTAATACATCATCGGGAGATATTATTGGGGATTAGTACCGCATTTCTCACCGCACACGTTTGCTCGCTACTGTAGTTAACTCATTGCTGCCTCGTTAAAAGCTATGCTTAGTATGAAATTTATTGGCGCGTTAATGAAATCTTTATTTTAATTCAAAAATTTTGTCGTGGTCTGTTAGACCAACAACATTACTTAAGGACTAATTTACCAACGAATGATAGCCACTCGCTAATCCATTTTATATGGCAAGCTTTTAATAATTTAATATCTTTACCGTGGTACTTTTTATTTTTAACCGACTTCCATAAACGGAGGAGGTTATCAGTTCAACGGAATATTTTTTTTTTTTTTTTTTTTTTTTATATATGTTACCGCATAACTTTGGCCCACGTCACCCGCTTTCGATAATTCTTTTTGCATCGGAAAGGTAGTGTCTCAGAGGTGGTCCCATACTAATCTGGTTAAGATCCGATCAGCGGATCATGAGATATATATATATAATTTTTTTTATATGAGAGTTGAAGTCGGTTTTTTTTTTGCTAAAAATTACTTGTTATAAATAAATACAATTTTGGATATCTAACTAGTGTTAAGATTATGATCCACTAAAAATTAAACAAATTTTTAAACATCAGTTTTTTGCTTTGAGGTTTTTCACAACAGAATTGTTTTCAAATAAAATTCAAGCAATGTAGAAAATTTGTTTACGATTTTTTTATGTAAATAATTTCCGCTGAGTTCTGCATTGACTTTTTTTGATTTCATCAATAAAGGTGTTTGATATAGTAAAATAAAGGAATATACATACATAAATATGTACATTCTTTCTAAATCACTAGAAATTTAATTTTGGCAATTTTGTTGTGAGATAATCACGTATGAAAATAGCGACAACGGCAATTAAAAATAGATACACGTCGTTCTCGTTGAATTAATTTTTCAATATTAAATTGTTAACGAATATATACATACATATATATGTACATGTACATTATACTGCATCACTCCCCATACAAAAAAGTCGGTTCCATTGGAATTATGTATAAAATCTATTATATTTTAAGACGTCCACCAAAATATTTCGGAAAAATATTAAGATTTGAGCGAGCTGGACCCATTTGGAAATACCTCCAAAAATGGAGTTTTTAGGAATAAAAATAGTTTCTTAAAAATGTTTCTTTAAAAAAATCCCCTCAAATGTCAAAACGGTTTAAGCTTAAAAAATTTATATAAAAATATTAATAAAAAAAAAAATTTGAACGGAATCGTAATAATGAGAGTTTTAGTGCTGTTTTTTAACTTTTTTTCAAAGATGGTTATAAGAAAAACTTGAATAACTGAACCTAAACTCTATCCATTTAGACTTGGAAGGTACCATTGGAAAGGCATCTTTTTTGCACATAAATAAAAAGAGTGGGAAAATACCTTTTTACCGAGATCGCATAAGTCTAAATCAGAATAGTTTTGGTCCAGTTATTTAAGTTTTTCGTAAATCAATCTTTGAAAAATCATAAATCTCATTATTACGATTCCGTTGAAAAGATTTTTAAATATTTTTATGCAGATTTTTTAAGCCTAATCTGTTTTGTCATCTGAGGGCACTTTTCTCAAAAAGTTCTTTAAGAAACTATTTTTATTCATAAAAAACTAAATTTTTGGAGGTATTTTCAAATCGGTCCAGCTCGCTTAATTCTTATTATTTTTGCGAAAAATTTCGGTGTACGTCTTAGTATGTAATAGATTTTGTAATTCCGGCGGAAAAACCGCAACTTTTTTTTTGGTGACGCAGTCTAATGTACATATGTATATAAGTGCATGTGCATGCGTTAGAAAATATCCAAAAATCGATGTAAATGCAATGCTGACAGCCTGCCCACCATACAGACGCCAACCCTCCACATGTGAAACCACCTGCACGTCTCCCGCCCAGCCTACTCAACTCAACCAACATGACAAGTTTGCTTGGCTATATCATGTGCCCACCAATAAAAATAAATAATGTAAAAAAAAATAAAAAGATGCCAAACGCGTGAAAAAACCGCTACATAATAGAACAATGCGCATCTTTGCGATCGCGAACGAAAGATTGTCTTTTTTTTAAATCTTCGTCTCGAAAATTTTTGCTAGAACAAGTGATCGTGTTGAGAACCTATGTATATACATACACATGCACACACATACACACAGGCACACATGTGCTTGCTTTCTCTCTCTGAATTTTCGGTACGGATTTTCCTTCTAATGCGAATATCAGCTGCTGCGAATCAAATTCGAAAAGCCAAATGTTCGAAAATGCAGAATTTAGGTTGAAACTGCTTAAAAATTTTAGTCTTCAGTTAAACGTCGGGACGTTAATTTTTAAAGCGGTTCCTTTTGGATAGTCGAGTGGATAGATTGGGGAGATATAGTAAAAGTAACGCAGGGCGGTGGTGTGCGGATAGTGTTGAAAACATTGGACACGAAATTTGAAGTGTTTATAAATGGCTTTTTTATGTCAATCAAAAACACTGTATTCGATTTGAGTGTCAATTAAATAAATGGCCAACATTGTGCTTAACTGTTACGTAAAAGTGGCAGAAAATTGCTCGGAAAATTCAACAGAGCAGCGAAAATACATATACATAATAACAATAAACAAATTAAATTGAATTTAAAATTTCAAATATTTATGTATTTGGCTACATTTAAAAATAAATTAAATATATATATACATATTGCTGAATAATAGTGTGATTTCAGAGAATAGCGTGTACTTAGTTATTGTGGCAATTAAAGTGGTTTCCGTTAGTTAAATTAAATGGCGCAGAACATACATACATATATAAGGGACGAATCGAAAGTAATTTGTTAAGCGGAATGCAAAACCGACTACAATTCCCATATAAAAATTTAATATTTTCGTTAATTTCTTCATGATGAAGTGATAGTATCTAAACCAAATTAGTATGGGATCACCTGTGAGGTATCACTTTTCCTTAAAAAGAATGAATTATAGAAATCGGTTAACGTGGTCCACAGTTATGCGGTAATACACTTAAAATAATATATTCCGACGAATTGATAACCTTCTCCATTTTGTGAAGAAAATGCTTGTTTAAAGTGTCAGAGGTTTCACATTCCACCACTCGTTTTTTAAGTAAAAATTTTA